TAATTATTTATTTATTAAATAAAATTACTGATTAAAGTTTATATAAAAATTAAACACAAACAGCTAAATCAATCTTTAAAAAAAGAAAAGTAAATTAAAGTGAGAAATAAATAAAGGTAAAGCAGTAAGTGGCATGCAGTTGGCAAAATTTTTTTTTTTTAAATGAAAGAAAGCACCTGCATCTGAATTCAGACACCTTGGAATTATTATTACATCAGACTGTAAACTTCCGTAATTTTAAAAAACCTACCGCCACCATTAATATATTAGATTAAGCGGAAGGTGAACTTCACCAAATGCGCCCAATATTTGCGCGCGCCGTCGTTGAGGTGGTGAGTTGTTAGTCAGATTTTAAAGTTGAATTCTCAATTATTAATATTTAATAATATTAATTTATTAATTATTATCTTTAATAAAAAAATTAAGTGAAAAGTGTTTGATTTTTTTAAATAAAATTTTGATTTTAAATTTTGTAAATTAAAAAAATAAATATTAAATTTTTTTTTTGTTTATAGGATCTGATTTGATTTTATTACAAATTAATCAGATTTAATGTTATTTTTGAATAGACGGTTAATATATAAAAAAGAAAAAATACTGTTGATCTTTTTTGCGTCACCACCAATCACTGAACGCCACGTCTCAACAACGAGCTCCTCATTCCTCCGTCTCCGCCAACGGTGACGGCCCTCACATAATTTTCATTTTCAATCATAATCTCCATTTTCTCCGTCTCTCCCGTAGAAAATTCAGACCTTCTCTCGCTAAGAACATAGCGATGTCGCTGGGGGGATCGTTTCTTTCCCGAAAGTTCTCGAGATCAGTAAGGGATGCGGTGGCTAGGAAATCGACGTCGTTGTCGTCGACGGCATCAGCCCGCCTCGGCCTCGACTTGGGCTGCTATCAGCCGTCGTACGAGCGGGATCTAGACGACGGTGATTCTTGGTCCAGCTTGCTTCCGGAGTTGTTGGGAGAGATCATGAAGCGCGTAGACGACAGTGAGGATCGGTGGCCTAAGCGTCAGAGCGTCGTCGCTTGCGCCGGCGTTTGTAAGAAATGGAGAGAAGCTATCAAGGAGATCGTTAGGGCTTCTCAAAATAGCGGCAATATTACATTTCCTTCCTGCCTAAAACAGGTAATTTAGTTAGATCGATGAAAATGATGTTTGTAGATATCAATAAATCAGAATCGATTTAATTTTGGTAATGTGACTATCACTTTCCTTTGGATCAATTTTTATTTCTCCTTAAATTTTGGGATTTAATGATGCTGGGAATTTAGGGTTCTAATTGATTTCAAGAGAATGACCTAAATACTTATATCAGATAAAATTTTTTAATGTATTTTTTCGTTCTTTTTTCAGCTTAGATTTTCGAAATTTTTGGAGGTTAATTAATGTGGGAATCGAGTAATTCTTGGGGATCAATTAAAATTTGTTATTTTCGGGTTTAACGCCAGTGTTTTTAATTTTCATGTGGCATTTATATCAAAATCTTTGTGTAATGAAGATCTTATTTAAAATGCTGTATCTATTAGCCTCTGTTGAAGCTTATATGCTGAATTAAGTGTGGTGCCCTTTTGTTACTATAATCAATAACTGAGGATCTGAGTTTTTCTTTGCTGGGTTTGGTTGAAAATTGAAATGCAGGGTACGCAAGGTGTTAAAGTTCAAAAGTTTGAACCTTATAATCGTTTTAGACCTGTATGTTCTCTGGAAATGGAAAAAGTAGTGAAATCCTAACCATGGAACGTCATCTTGAGTCTCCTCGATCTTAAGAAATAGTATCTATTTTGGAAAATTGTATCTTTTCCTTTTTTTCATTCTCATGCATTTTTGTAGTGAATTCAGACCATGAAATTTATAATTTTTGGAATATAACATTTTTGCAACTGTGTTTTTGCAAAATAATTGTTTTAAAAAATGAAGCATGTTAAGTAGTTTTCCTTTATGGTATACCTTTTTTTTTTTTTTTTTTTTTTTTTACACTAACTGTATGGGAGATCTTTGGAAAGCAAGGCTCTTTTGCTTTTGTTGATTATCGAAGCAAGAGTCCAGGGCATGTTTAGTTTGCAGTTGTTGGTTGATGAATCATCATGAGGATTTGGAATTTTGGATTGATGATTCTCTTTTATTTATTTATTTATTTATTATTATTATTATTTTTTTTTTTTTGCAGCCTGGTCCACGCGATTCACCAAAACAGTGTCTTATAAGACGGCATAAGAGGAGCTCAACTTTCTTTCTCTATCTTGCACTTGGACCAAGTAAGTAATTGTTGGTAGAATGATTTTTTAATTGAATGAAAAACCCCAAAACGAGAATCTTTGTTGGACTTTCTTTGAGCTTGTTGAGCAGCTAGGTGACCTTTTACCTATTCAAAGGTGAATGTTTAAGCTAATGGTGTAGTTGAAAGGGATGAATGAAATGCTTCACTTTGTTAAAACCTGGAAATTGACTTATTATTACTATAAGGTCATATGTGAGCTATGGGAGGAATAGTTTTTGTCTTCTGAAGGAAAAGAGTATGATAGGATGAATGACTTTAAATAATTTGATACTTGTCCAAGTTCATAAAATATTGAGCACTTCATGGTGGCACTATGCCTTTCACTTGATAACGGCTAGCTCAAGGACTTAGGGAGGAATATTTTTTTGTCTTCTGAAGGTAGAGAGTATGTGAGGATTGAGGATGAATCAGTTCAAATGATTTGATACTTGTGAAAGTCCATAAAATATTGAGCACTTCATGGTTGTTGCAAATATGATGTGTCACACAGTATGAGTGATGTAGGACAGACTTGAACAGATTTAGTGTTTGGAAGATTAGGTTTTTATGAGAAAAATAATTTGGATTATCAACAGCTCTCTCCCTCTCTCTCCTCCCTTTTTTTGACAGTTCAGCATGGCATTTATAGTTTCTTTTTGGCTAACACTTGATGTTTGCGGTTGATATCTGGCATATTTTGATGTCTTCCATGTTTTTTGTAGCATTTACCGACAAGGGGAAGTTTCTTTTAGCAGCAAGGAGGTATAGACATGGCACTCATATAGAGTATGTAATATCCCTTGATGCTGAGGACATATCCCAAGGAAGTAATGCCTTTGTTGGAAAGTTAAGGTAGGACATTCATATAAATGTGAGTTGGTTGAAGTGTTTGATATCGTGCTGTATTTTGCTTGAATTTAGTCATCAAAAACTGTCCGATAATTTTTGTGATGTGTTTACATTTTAAAATTTTGTAATATTTGTTTGCATCTTGTGGAATGAAAACTTTCTCAGGATTGTAAATTTTGCAAGGATATTAAGTCTTAAAAAGGCAAAGGTGACATGTTGCTCTACCTTTTCAGTGCAATACAGAATTAAGTATTGAAATGTGTTGCCAATTTGTGGCAGCCTCTTTCACTTGTTTTTGAGAAGACTTTTCTAACTTGTCTTCTTTGTATTTTTTGCACCTTATGAAAGTACATTGTGAAAACAACTGTTAAGTTTGTTGATCACATTGAATTTCTTGTTTGAGATTTTTGGGAACTGTTTTAGCTGAAATGGAATGTGCCCTGTTATCTCGTATGTCTTCTGATTTTCAATTATTAAATTATCTTCTAGTTCCATATAAAGTTGCAATGCCTTAAGAATGTTGCCTTGGAATATCTTCCTGTACAATGTTTGAGTTAAGGTGGCAAGTTGCAGATCAACAATGAGAAACTGCAGTTCAATGGTATGGAACATGCTCTTGAATTAGGGGAGTTTTCAGGAAACTCCTCTAGTTGTGGCAGTTGCATTATCAATAGTTTCTTCACATTTTTTTTAATATGTAAAGGAATTGCACTATCATTTACCACAGTTTAAGTAAATTGAATTAGTTTAGAGTTCCTTATAAAAATTTCTCAGGTATTCTCATGTAAGCCCAAATCTTTGCAGTTCGGACTTTCTTGGCACCAATTTTACAATCTATGATAGCCAGCCACCCCACTGTGGCGCAAAGCCATCAAGCAGCAGAGCAAGTCGCCGATTTGGAAGCAAGCAGATAAGCCCACAAGTGCCAGCTGGCAATTTTGAGGTCGGACAAGTCTCTTACAAGTTTAACCTCTTAAAATCACGAGGTCCTAGGAGGATGATTTGCTCACTGAAATGTCCTCTGTCGGGAGAAACAGTGGATGACAAGCATCCTGATAAATCCAAGACAAAGATGACAGAATCTGCTGCTTCTGGGTGTACAATTTTAAAGAATAAAGCTCCAAGATGGCATGAACATCTGCAGTGCTGGTGCTTGAATTTCCATGGTCGGGTGACAATAGCATCGGTAAAGAACTTTCAGCTGGTTGCAACTGTCGACCAGAGTCAACCAGGAAAGAAAGGAGACGGGGAAACAGTTCTCCTCCAATTTGGGAAGGTTGCAGACGATACATTCACCATGGATTATAGGCAGCCCCTGTCAGCCTTTTTGGCTTTTGCTATATGCCTCACGAGCTTTGGCACAAAATTGGCATGTGAGTGATTTTTTTTTTCTTTTTATGTATTATATATTTTATCATATTAACAAGTTATGCTACATGTTTTAATATAATTATTTTGCTTAAAGTCTCTAAGAAGTTTTATTTGACAGAGCGCAGCAAATGTACATGCTCCTGTTGTGTCTTGTGATTTCTGAAATTATTGCATGCAAGGAAATTGGTGTAGCTTATTCGTTTTTAGATAGACATTCAAGTGTATTTTACAATTTCGACATTCAAGTGTATTGTACAATTTCACGTATTGTGGAGCATTAAGATGCGCATTTGAGATTTGAATTGCAATTAACCTTTCATAGTTTCAGGGGGTAGTTAATTTATCCTTGTACCCTTGTTTGTTGGTTGGCACTGCATCAGTAAAGGCAAAGGTTGGCTGTACAAAGTGACCTTTTCCTTTACCCTTCATTCAGTTGGTAAAGATTCATCTGTAATGGTGAATTCTCCAATGTTTGAGATACGAGCCTCAAGAGTATTCAACGAGGCATATTGTTGTCAAGGAAGGGTAATCCGTCAACCCTGTCAAATCAAGTTCAATACTAACGCAGGAGCTAGAAAAATGTAGCAAATTTCATATTTCCATTGAATGGGTCATATGTGGTCGATCATCAATATTACACAATGCTCGAGGTATTGAACCAGGATGTGTGAAATAAATGGCAGACGAAGGAAGAAACAAGACATGAACGAAAAACAGATGTACAAGAATCACTCTCACGTTTGGTTCACAAGCTATTTATGCAGGACTTGTGTCAAATCTGGTTCTGCAGTCTCAATTTAGGCGCAAGTATTCCAGCTTTTTATATAGTGTTCTTCGCTTACCCAGTTTCTTGTGCGAAAAGTTACTGCTATTACTAATATTAAGACAGAAGCATCTGTGACCTCGTCAGAGGAATGCATCTGAAGAACCAATTCGAGAATAATGGAAAACATACAAATTGCAGAAGATCCCATGATAGATTCAAAAACAAAGACACTATTTCATAGTCATCAGAGGAAGCTGGATACATTATCACACGCAAACCATAATAATAGTAAAATCAGTTCACGTACATCACTTTTAAGACTCGAGACACTGGTGGTAATATGGAAGTTCTGTTCGCTGTTTTCATGCAAGTTGCCTCACTTCTTCCCTCGCAGTTTGCAACCAAGAGCCCTCTCCAGTTTTCCAATTATTTGCTGATTGGGAATAGCCTTTCCAGATTCATACTCTTGGATGATTTGGGGCTTCTCATTGATCGTCTATGCAATGAAAGAGAAAGGTTCAGTGCAAAAGTGTCTGGTACAAAATATGTGCTGTTCATCACCGAAAGTATATATGTTTCAGGATGGAGGATAAATTGATGAAAGAAACAAACCTGAGCAAGTTGAGCCTGGGTAAGTTTCTTATCCATCCGAGCCTGCATGATGGCTTTCTTCAATTCAGTTGGTACTCTATCATCTGTTCACAAGGTCAGACAAGAAGGAAAATTTAAGAATTGTGCGATCATCGCACAGAACTATTGAAGGGCACTCCATATGAGTCAACAAGAGAAAAGATATATGGTCAACAACACAAATAAAGCACTAGCATTGGGCACCCACATAACAAGGAAAAGGAGATGCAGAATAGTGACTCCATAATCTAGTCAAAGAACATCGAGGTAAGTCTCTTTTTTTAGATCTCTCTTCCCAGCACATGTACAAGAAAGTAAGAAACCAAGAAATCTTCAACACTTGCTTGACATCACCATATTTCCCAGAATGACTAGTTTGGGTTCTGGTTATTTTAGCTTAATGAGGAATGTACAAATAAAAGGTATACAAGGTTATCAGATTGTTGAGTTTGTTGACCAATACCAATAGAGGAAATGTCAGAGTAAATAAGGTAATAACCAACCAAATTATTTCATGCTGGCCAAGCATATAATTGGTGGAGAATGAGACATTGAATTCATCAACTTCAACAGGAAGTTACATAATTTAAATTCCATATTGTCAAAAGATCTATATCATGATTGAAGATCAAAGTAAATTGTCAGTTATCACTGACAGGGGAAAACATTCTATCACTATTGAGAAGTTTCAACAGTCATAAGAAAAATAAGACTAAAATTGCATCATCCTAGCGACTAGCACTCCCCTTCAGAAAAAAAAAAGTGATATTTTTACAGTGTAGTATATAAAGTGTTAAACTATTCTTTGTTAAACCTTGTAGAGGAAGCAGACTTAAAATATATAGAACAGCTTTAATTCACCATATTACCTGGTCTAGTTAGTTGGCAAAACTATTTGGTATGTCCTTAGTGCCAACGTGAACAGATCAAATAAAAACACTTGTTATCAATTGAATCAGTAGAATTGCTATCCAAAAAAAATAATGAATAATGATCATTAATAAACAAGGCATCTATGAGCAAGGTTGTCGAAATTGAGAGTTTAGGTAAAATTGTTTTGGTTAGGTAAACTCAAAATTGTAAACTTGAATCAGTAAAATCAAGAGTTAACTAAATTAATTTAAATTTTATATGTTACTAAAATTTAACGTCAAATGTTCAAATTTAAAATTCATCTAAGAAGTCTAATTACTAATTAATTATTACTTTTAGTCTTTTTGGAACATTTTTCTATTTCATAGTTATTAAATTGTTTCAAATTTTAATGGTTTTGACCTCAAAAAATATATATATAGTAAAATATTCTTAGTTTAACTTATAAAAAATTAATAAAACCTTAAAATTTTTGCTTGAAAACCAACCAAGGCCAAATTACATGGCCAAGATTCGAACCACTATAAAACAACCCATAAATAGTTAACAAGCACTGCTCCGCCAATGTGCTGCCGCTGATTATTAGTCACATTATGACACAAAAATCCATTAAACTTTTTAAATTTGTAAAATCTCAATTTTATCCAATTTTATGATTTCACAGTCTGAGTTTATGAGATCCAATTTTGACTTAGATTTTAAGCGAGTTGTATATCTAGAATCCTAAGATCCTATGATTTTACGAGTTAAAACACGATTTTGACAACCTTGTCTATGAATTCATGTAGCTAATCTACAGAACAACGCATCACATACAGGTTCAGAATTCAAGTCAACACCATACCCAACAACATTCTTTTGGAAGCAATATTCTGTGCTACACATTCTATGCTAAGGCGACAGACAGCATAACCAAAAAGATAAACAAATTACACATTATATCTTAGAATCAATTGCTCATGTCCCTTGTGGTGGGTCAAACAGCCGGTGCAGCAATTTGATACCCAGTTTGTCAAAAGCAAATAATATATTAAAAGGTTTACTTACGAGCAAGATTCTCCGTCTCTTCATCAAGTTTTTTTGTGTTCAAACTGGTGCTGCTAGAGGCAGCCTTATTCGAGGCAGCATTAGCTGCAAAATACAATGAATACAAAAGCCATCTAAGTTTCACCAAAACCCCAAAAATCAAAGCAAAGAATCTCACAAGCCACAATTCAGAGATAGTTATACTTTCTAGATTACAACATTCTAAGTCAAATTTTTTCTTAAAAAAAAAAAAGAAAAAAAAAAGAAAAAGAAACTCATCGGGAAACCTAGGGTTTACTCGGATGATAGCCCAAAAAAAAAATTTTTTTTTTTTTTTGATGTACAAGAACCGGAAAAAATTTGATCTTTCTTCTTTCTATAAAAGGTAATGATTTCTCCGACAATGAAAACGATAAAAAAAAAAAAAAAGGAATTTACGTTTTTTTATTGTCTCGATCTCGGCGCCGGCACGACGAGCGGCGTTGACGACCTTCTCGTCCTTCTTGGCAGCAGCGTTGGGGGCCTTCTTCCTGATCACGACGGGCTCCCAGTCCTGAGTAATCGGTCCAACACCAGCCATCGTTTCTGTTTCTGGTTTTTGGGGTTTCCTTTGTTCAGCTGATTCTTCCTTGATTCTGTTGATCGATGGAGGACGACGGTGATGATGATTTTCTCTATTTATGGAGATGCCGATAATATCCACGGTGATGTGGCCATAAAATCCCTAGGACATTGGTTTTTTGACTGGCTGAGCTGGGCGGCTGGGCCTTTGAATTGGTCATGATCTTGGATTGGTTTTGGGCTTCCATTGATCCAAATTGTGTATCATTTCATAAAGCCTTTCAATTTATTACTCTTTTTTTATTTTTTTGAATCCAGTTCAAAGGGATTAAAAACTGCAAGTTAATAAGGTGATAAGAGTTACTCCGCTCAATGAGTTAGGTGCTTATCAATTTATTACTTTTTTCATTATGATTTTATGAATTTTATATTTTACTGTTTAAATTGTAAGATAAAAATAATTAAATAGTAAGGGAATTTTTTTCATGCAATATATCAAGAATTATTTTTCATTTAATCGTAAATATCATGCAATCCATTGCAATTTAAATTTCAAAACACTTTTTCCTAATTTTATACAGCAATAGTGCAAGAATTATATGAAAGTTATCAAATTTCTCATCTAATAATTAATTTAATATGGAAATACCAAATAAGAACATGGAGCTTTGTAGCAGTATTGTTTGAAGTCTTAAGACCTAATGAAGTATCATATCTTAAGTGATTAAGAATTTAATATTTTAAATCCAAAGTCTTGATCACTAAAGAATAACAATAATAGAAATTTGAGAAGATATCCATTTATATGTAAATTTAATATATTATACTTATATAAAATCTCGATTATTTATTTATTTATTTATTATAATTGAGATTTATTATGACTTTTTAAGTAAAAATAATAATTATATTTAATAAATATGATAAAAATAAATAAATTTTAATTATTAAAAATAAAGAAATAAATAATTAAAATTTTATATAAGTATAATATATAATATTTTTATATAAATAAATCCCTATTTTAGATATATTATATTTGAATCATCAAAATTCATATAGTAGCAGCAAGATTATAGATAAAGAAAGGCAACAGAGGATTATGTGAAAAGGTGGACTATTGCTTGATCTTAGGCGTAAGAGAGTGGAGAGCAATGAGGTAGATTACTTATGTTCCTCAATCTCCTTTCATTTCAGGGGTCCATAGCAGGAGAAAATAAAGCAAGGGTTTATATAGATTTTCTAGAAATATTTTGCTCCACTTATGGACCTAAATGCAAAAATTCCCATTTTTTTCTACAAATGTTGAATAGCAAAATTATAAAATATTATTTTTAAAAATATTAATTTAATAAATAAAAATAATTAATAACAATAATTAATAATTAATAAAATAATTAATAAATCCATATTTTTACTCACTACTAAAGGATAAAAAACTAAATTTTGTTTGTTATTAATAATTTAAATAAACCAATAATTTATTTTTTATTAAAAATAAAATATTTTAAATTTAAATCACATTACATAACATGAATGAATGGAACTAAATAAAAAAAAAAAAAAAAGAGATAATTGTTATTCATCCGTAAAAAACAAGAAAAAATTGCTCGCCTAAAATTTATTTTACCATGGCAGTGCACAGTGCACACATCTCTACCCTTACTTTCCTACTTTCCTTCACATTCTGGGTAACCAAACACATTGACTCACACTATAAAAGTCCGGAATCCGGATATCAGCAGGGCAGAACCCCCAGAAATTTATTTCTGCCATGCCCATCAGGGAAAAAATGGCGGGAAAACGATGAAGAAAGCTCTTGATTCATGCTAGTCATCTCCATCGTACAAACCATCCCTCGCAGCCCTGCCTTTCCCCGTTTGTTCTTCCGTTTCCGGGAAACCAAACCCCAAGCCCCAAACTTTTTCGTTTGTTTTTGCAGGCAACGGAACCCGTCAATGTCAACCAAAATCGTTGCCGAGTACGCGAAATCTGGCAGGTCCTCGTGCAAGATGTGCGGCAAAGCTATTGCCGCCAAGGCTCCGAGGCTGGGCCTGGTGAGCAGAGACGCGCGAGGTTATGACGTAACCAAATGGCACCATGTGGACTGCTTTTCTGAGACAATTGAGTCGCTGGAGACGATCAAGGGATTTGCCTCTCTCGAGGTTGGTACGCCTCTGAGTTTATTTTGCATGCAGAGGTAAGAAGTATTCAATTGTATAAATCATTTAGTTTGAAGAGTTAATTTGTTTGCTTGTTTCCTTATGGTTTTAGAGAGCTGATCAGGAAGCTTTGGAGAAATTGTTAGATGGGTCTAATAAATCTCCGGAGCAGGTACTTGTTAAATTCTAATTTATGGTATCTTGTGTATAAGAGTGAAATGCTTTACCTTGGAGAGTCTATTTGAGCAATTGTTGATTTCATGACCAGAAAACATTGTTTTATGTGTGAAATCGAGTAAGTATTGCTAGAAGTCATAAGAAAAGTGCTTGCTTCAATGGATATAGATTAATATTGATACATTTCCATCTCAAATCAAAGTGAATAGAAAGATATGGTAAATTCATGTGTTGTAGGTCTTTAAATTCTTTTGTTGCAGCTACAATCAGTAAGTTTTTCTTTTGGTTAGGTTGCTGCTTGCTGGTAGCGACTCTTTTTCAAAGTGCAAGTTTTAGGGAAATTTTATTTTATGTTTCTCAGTCAATTAGTTAAGTCTCCATTTGGAATAGACTAGTTCCTGCAATTTTTAATTGGGAGAATGGTCTTAAATTGGATAATTAGGTATAGAATATTTAGTAATGGTGCTCAGTCATTTATCTATCTGCTTTTGATTTTTTTTTCTTACTCTTTCTAAGGTAAACTATTTTCATCCCCATCTCTTTTATTGCAATTATAACATCTGCCATCTGAAACAAACTTTCTCTGATAGTTTATGCCATCATGTTAACCATGTTCAGGGAACGGTTCAAGACAAGGAAGAAATTGAGCTGGATGAAAGAAATAAAAAGAAAATTAAGGTACAATGAAATAAAATAAAAGGGTAGTTCTTTGAATTTTTCTTCACACTTTTTACCAGACTTGGAAATCTTATTGCTTTTAATTTTATGGGTTTGTACATAGTTGTCAACACCTGATGAGAAAGCTGAGTTAGAAATAGCCTTTTCAGTGTCTGATATCACAGATAAGTATAAGGTATGATGAAGTGTTAATATTCTATGCATTGGCATAGTCAAAAAGAGATTTTTTATTTTTATTTTTTGTGATATTCAATGAATTTGCTCTCTTAATCTGTTTTTGTCTCTTCTCTTTGATTCAGAACGCATCACTGTTACCAAAATGGAAGGCATTCCATACAGTCATATTTCTTGAGAGGGTAAGATTCCAGTTTTATGGAGGTAAAATGAAAAAAAGAAAAAAAGATCAGTGTGGGTGCTTTGCCTAATATTGTACAGAGATTTTTGTCCTGAAACTGCTCTTACCTTTCCTATTATGACTTATATTTATTAGGTATTATTCTTACATTGTGGTAATTATCATTTTCTGCATTGCTTGTGCTTATGTGGTGGTGTAGCTAAATGATTGTGGTAGTGAGCACTCAAATCTAATAAATACAAAGTGAAATAGCCCTCAAGCTTGCCAAAGATGTGAAATTGAGTACCTGAAATTTTATTTGGTTCAGTGAAATCTTGAGATTTGTTCTGGTGCAGTTGAGTCTGACTTTGGTTGAAAATCCTTAGTGTACATTGTATTTCTTTTCAGCTCTTGGAGAAAAAGTGGCCCTTTTTGTAACACATCCATTTACAGGTTTTACTTTTATTCTAATGTTATTGGTTCCGATCAAGGTTTGCAGGCACCTAATTTTTTTTTAAGTTATTAACTTTTTTTTTTCCTCATGATCACCAACAAAGCAATTTAATTGTTGCATACAGTTTAATTTATTTTTGCGCCCAATGACACCAGAATAGAAGCATAAGAAATTGATTTAAAAAAAAGGTGGAGGGGCTCAATTGCATATTTCATACAAGTTTGAGGTTTATGTTCAGCACTATGGCAATTTAATATTCTAGCCTCTTTTTTTTTTTTTTTTGTCATTTGGAGTCCTTCAGACATTCATCTGTTCACTAGTTTGATTATTTTGTAGGATGATGGTCTTCAAGATTCAGAGAAAATAGCTGCATTTGATTTTGATGGCTGTCTAGCTAAAACATCTGTTAAAAGGTATGTTCATGGATGTTTTATGGTGATGTAGAATTCTGACATGCATTGCCTATTATTTGAATGAAGTTCACCATTTCTGTCTCTAGATGGATTAACCTTACATCTCTGCAGATGTCAAAGATGTTAATCTATTATATCAATGCATAAAACTTGAAAGTATTATTCTTGCATGATCAACCACTAAAAGTTTTACCATCTTGTATCTTCCTCAAGAGGTCAAATGGTTGGACCTTTCAACTCAATAAGTTTTCCTGTTGGGTGCCCTATCACCTTTCTGGCTGGATGTATTCTAAGGATTTGGCTTGCTATTTGAATGGTTTTAAGTTTTGACTTAGCTTGTCAATCATCATTTCATTTTGTATTCTGCAAGGCTGTGCTTTTTAAACTTTTATTTCTCCTCGCTATGCAAGAATTTGTGCGATCCTTATCATGTGAATTTCAATTTGATATACTGTAGTACGAAGCAGCATACTAGAATGATATCCTTAAGAGTATGCTGCTAGTGTATGATATGTGGATGGGAAAGGGTTAATCACAAGGTCTTAGTTAAGGAGGACTAAAATAGAGTGCATTAATTGTAATTTTAAGAAAAAAAAAATAGTTGAAGGTGAGGATGTTTGAGTTGATGATTAAGAAGTTCGTTAGTAGGATAGGTTAGCATTTTTTATTTTCCATCATGATGGAATATCTAAAACGATGTTAGCTATAAAATTAGATTAAGGTTGGATAGAATAGAGAGATTCTACAGAAATACAGGTAATTGTGACTTTGTAAGTTTCCCACCAAGTTGTAAGGAAAGTTTTTGTAAATTAGTTATAAAACCAACTCCAGTTTAAGGCACCAAGTTGTAATTGATGCAAACTAATGTTGTCACAGTCTACTGTCTTTTGTGAAATGTTTATGGACTTCACTATCAAATTTTAAAAGTGATATAGCAAGTTAAATCAAAGAATTTAATCTACTTTCTAAGATTTTATTTTGCTAATTCTATATCATATGATTGGGAAAGTCTAAAAAGAAACCAATACTCTTTCTGAGATTTTATTTTACTAATTGTTTTTCCAATATACTTCTCATGCACCTCATAGTTTTGACTTAAATTTGTCATTTTATCTTCATGTTCTCAATTAGTTTGTCAAGAGGTTTTTATTATTGAAAAAAATTGTCAACATAACATCATTCAAGGCAATGCATTTGATACTCATGAGTGTACTTTTGGCTTCCAGAGTTGGAGCAGATGCTTGGTCCCTTATGTATCCTTCAATACCAGAGAAGCTGCAGGCTCTGTATAATGATGGCTACAAGCTGGTTTTGTTTCTTTCCCTTTTGAATTTCCCACTTCATTTTTTCTAATTTATAATTCAGGCCTGCTTTCTTATTGAGTTCTTGTTTCTAACGGGAAGTGTGAAATTCTGCTTCCACCATTTAACAGGTAATATTTACCAATGAATCCAATATTGAACGCTGGAAGAATAAGAGACAGGTAGCTGTTGACTCAAAAATTGGACGTCTCAACAATTTTATTAAGCAAGTGAAGGTCCCAATACAGGTTGCTCAATGTGGTGACTTTTATGATTTCTGTATAATACTAGCAATCACTTTAGTGATGATTGACCTCTGTGGTTTAAAGTACTTCAATTTTGAAAAATTAATTTGGTGAGTGCTTTTCTAAGTCATAAATTACTTATTTTTTCCTAAATAGAAAACTCAATATTTTTCAAATTTATACATTTTATTACTCAGTTTCAATTCTAGTCAGATAATTTTGGCTTGACTAACCTTCCTTCCATGAATTTAAATTATATGGTCCCAAACTTAAAACATTCCTGGCACTGAACCTAGGGTGCTTACAATCCAAAGTTAGCCCAAATCCTTCAGGTATATTCATCTTTTATTTGCAAAAGTGATTTTATTAAAATTGAATTAAGAAGGGCAATTGTAGGGCCTCAACTCTTTTCCTCTCTTTCTTTCATTTTACCTGTGAATGTCTTACCTGTGTGAAATATGTGCTCTCTAATGCTATGAAAATCTGAAGAAATTGATAATTTGACTTGCAATGTTCATAACAGGTTTTTATAGCATGTGGATTATCCAATTCTGATGGCAAAATGCATGACCCTTTCCGCAAACCTAAGCCTGGGATGTGGCGCATTATGGAGAAACATTTCAATTCTGGAATTCCAATTAATATGGATCAGTTATTTCTTATTTCTTCTCTCTCTCTCTTTCTCTCTTTCTCTCTCTCTCTTTTCTTTGTTCTTTTTAAGCTTTTATTTGTCAAAAAAATATTCATCTGATTGCTGATATACAAACAATGATTTGACAAAATCTGGCTTTTGCCGGTATTGTAGATCCTTTTACGTTGGTGATGCAGCCGGGAGACCTGACGATCATAGTGATGCTGATATAAAATTTGCAGAGGTAGATTGTCATAATTATAAATTATCAAATTATTAATTAGTTTTATTTTTCATTTATTCTTTCAATTTTTGTTTTTATATTTAGTAATATGGCTTCTTTTTGTTTGCTTGTTGAGAATAGAAATAATGCTTCATCTTAGCTATCACACCGATTAGGACTATCTGGCAATCTGTTTCTTGAAATGCAGCAGATTTACTGTTCTTCCTAGTGTGTCAGAAATTAAGGCTATGTATGATTGAATGGAAGGACTATTCCTTGGTAAATGCAAAAAGTATATATAAGATAAAATGACGAAGATTATTTGACAAATTAGGAATAAGGTGGCAATGAGGTAGGAGTAACTAAAGCCTAGGAGAAGGTAGTATAGCCATTCCTATTTCGTTCTCAAATATAAAGGAAAATGAACAACATTACCCACCTTATTCCTAGCTTCGCAATTTTATTTTCATGCACTGACTAGGGAATAGAAATTCAGTCCAACCAAGCATTGCCTAATGTTTCTCTGGCCGCAGGTTCAAGTTTTACTGTGTTTTAATGAAATGTGGTCTTCAACCTCTACACTAGAGAGTTTTTCAAAGAAAGATAGTATGTCAATTCTCTTTAATTAGTGTTTTTATTTATTTATTTATTTATTTTGAGAAGTACATTAACCTGAGTTATCTAGATGACAAACTGAATAATTATCGAAGGAATAAAATTATGTCCTAAATAAACTTTGTTAAATGAGTATTTTAAGTCGTCTGAAAAATGCTTCAAGTTGTTGAATATGCAATGGAGTTGATTTGCTGTTGTTTCATCCTGCTGTCGCAATATGGTATGCAAAAAATATTCTAAAATTCTAACTACTCACTGTAGCTTTCTGCTTTTACAACTTTTCTATGTTTGCAGGCAATAGGACTGAAATTTTATGTCCCTGAGGAATACTTTAGCTCGGAGGGCAGCTAGTTCCATTCAGCAGTTCTTAATGCACATAAGTGTATTGATAACTTTATGGCACGAAGTTCTGTATCAAAGCTTTACTAATCCCTGCCTATGTGGTGTTAGAATCTTTTAATTATCATTCAAGATACACAAACTATTCGATAGTTTGATTGATACCAAGTCGCAGGAATGCATGCTCTTTTGCTTGTTTACTAATGACTAATGGGTGGATGAGCATATTGTACTCAGGCCAAGCAACGAAGCACAAACCAATCCCAGCATACTTCCACTATTCTAGACTTAGGGGGTGGTGGTGGTTGTGTGGTGGGGTTTAGTTGTTTCATCTTTCACTATTTCTACATCCCAACCTGTCTCCTACATCTCAATGTTCTGTTTTGCAATATTTCCATTCTTTTTTAGCCTTATTGGTCTAGGACCTCTGCAGCACTCTTTCAACAAAAATATATGATAATTCTTAATTAATTGAGTTATTCCTTAGAAGGTTCAGGTAGAATTAGTTCCGCACAAAACGAGAAGGATGATGTTTATTGTTTGGCCTTGTGGACCATAAACCTTGAGCCATTTTAGTTCATTAAGAATAAAATCTGAATAGAAAGATCGTCACACTCTTTTTGTTGCGCGGTTGTTAAAATTTGAACAATTAAAATTAACAATTATATTAAAAGTTAAAATTGTCAACCTATAAGACATAAAATTTTAGAATTAATACTTAAAATTTTTAGATTTTTAAACTTTTGAAAACCGAAATTCAATGCATCTTAATCCCTGCAAATTTGATGCAACTCTTACATTAGATGCTCCTCAATTTGCCTTCAATTTGATTTAAGGAGAGCTATGTGCCCTCGGCGTGTCTTGGTGCACTGTAACTCTTCCCATTAGATGGCTGTTGGTTATATTAACCCTCAATTTCCCCTCTTCCCTTCCATTTCCCTCACAAGTCAAATATGTTCATGAAACAACAGGAATAAATTATTATAGTTGATTTGCTGTTTTATTGGCAACAGGAATAATTTAGAGAAAACAGAAACAAAATATGAAATATATAATTCTTGAACAAAATATTCTGCAAAAGTTTTACAAGTAGCTTTAAGAATCCTATATGCTTTCACCAAAAGCAAGGCAAAAGTTCTTCGAATTGAGTATTACAAGAAACAACTCACTTTTTCCTACCAATCTCACCCTCAAAAATTGCATGCCTTGTCAAGACAATTTCCTTCACAAGATTCCGGTAAGTAAATGGCCTAACTGCTGCTCTCAGAAATAGCTCGGGAGGAACTTTGCTCTTCTTAATCCTTTTTCTCCATGGACCAATCCCGGCATACTCCCACTCTTTTGGACTAACTTTTGCCCTTTTACCCCTCATCTCTGTTTCATCTCCAACTTCATCTTTCCTTGTCCCCAACTGCCTCCTATAGAACTCTGAAGTTATCTCAACACTCTTTTTTACCAGATTTTCCATTCTTTCTGAGCTACTCACTGCCTTCTTAAATTCCTCTTCCCAGTATTTCTCATCCTCCTCCTCCTCCTCCTCCCCGGAATCATCTTCTTCATCACCACTTCCTTCCATGTCCACCACTACATTGTCTTCATAATCGTAATCACCATCATCCTCATCTTCATTTCCATCATCTTCAATCCAATCTGTATACTGCACATCATTTGAATTTCTACCCCGTTCATCCTCATCATCATCTGGTGCATCACACCCCATCTCCTCCTCCTCCAACTTCGCCTTCCACTCCTTTGTATATGGATGCAAAAGGTACACGGGATGATTTGCCAACAAAAACTCCAGACACACTGACTTCCTCTCCTCACTCAATTTCTCATATCCCTTCACCACATCATCCACAAATGCCTTTGGATTCACCTTGACAATTTTACACAAGCCAGCAAAATAAGTACACATCTGCACACTCCCATCCTCATTCTTAACCTCAAATAGAAAATCCTCTTCTGTTTTCGGATCAAGATATGGCATCAAAGCCCTGAAAAAATCATCCTGAGGCTCAAACCTACATTGGTACACAGGCTTCTTCACGTATATAATATCTGGCCTCATCCAGGCAGCGCATTGCGTGATCAAAGCTCTGGCCTTGTTCCCCAATCTACCCATCAAGCTCCATTTATCCAACCTCTCCTTTTTTGCAGCCTCAACCACCACTTCACTCACCAAAGTCCACTGCTCCCATGGCAATTCACTCAGCCTCCATTTTGGGTGCCTCACAAACACCCAGAAGTATCTAAAACCAACATTTTTATCCATGGTTTCCAATCTCTTACCAAAATCTGATGCCATTTCGAACTGCTCTATCTTCTCCCATTCCTCATGGCTTTTAACCTCTTCTATGAGTGTGACTCTATCATCCGAGAATCGCCCACGAACTGGGTCACCAACAACCACACCACGCCATGAATACGGTCCAAATTCGCCATACTTGTACCAGTCGTATGGGTGGCGGAGATTGGGGTCATCCTTCTCCATGAATCGGACCATGCGGTCGTACCCAAGTCCGATTGCCTGGAGCTCCTCTTCAGTGAAGTTGTCCGCGTGGTTTTTCCCAGGATTTTTCAGCCGATAGAAGAAGGATTCCGCCAGCTTTTTCGACTTCCGCCGCGCATTACGCTTCGCCTCACGCCTCAGCTCCGCATTCCCCTCAGTAAGTCCAGGAGACTGCCCAACGGCCTTTTTCTTGCTCCGGCCAGCGAATGCCCGGACGTCTCCCCGCCGAATATGATCATTATTTTCACAGCAACAAATCACGGAAAACCGACGAGAAAGGGTGCAGCTTTTCGGGGGTATCAAGGAGATGAAGCCCGGAGGAAGATGGGAATTGGAGAAGCGGAGGGAGAATTTAGGGTTTAGGGTATTAGAAAAGGAGGGATTTTGAGGCTGCATTTTGATGAAGCAAAGGCGACGGATCCTGTAACAAATACATTTCGGTTCAAGACGGTGCGTTTCAATGGAGACAAAAAAAAAAAAAAAAGTTTTCTATGTCTCGGGTCATATCAATCATCTTCATCTTCCGTATACCATACTTCTCCGATCTTCCATATTCTCTTCCCAATCTCTTTTCTCATCCGATTTCACTTTTCCGATCAGCTGAATTTCCGGACAATGTCGAAGCGGACGCATCTGACGGATCTAGGTTGCATCGCTTGCGAGGAGCTGAGCGACCTGGGAGCTGGTCGGGAGGGCTGGCTCACTGACGATCCCACTGTCCTCTGCGCTCTGGAGCCCAATTCTCTCGCCATCGCCAACAGAAATCTTATTCTCGTGCTCGGATGGTCTGATCCAGACGAACCAAGGGTCAATATCCGACCTGACTTATCCTCGACCCAAGCCGAGTATATAACGGCGATTGAATGGCTGGTTTTTGATGATTTTAGGGTGGTAGCAGTTGGGACCTCCAAAGGGTACCTGTTGGTTTATTCTTTGGCTGGTGATCTGATTCATAGACAGGTAAAAAGCTGAAATTTTTGTGTTTCCCTTTTGTTTCCTCGTAATGTCAACTGATTGTTTTTGTGGGGGAACAAGTGTGGATAAAACTGACGATCTTTGCTTGACTAAAGTTGTTGTTCTAGTTGTGAGCTTGTTAATTGTATTTTTGTTTACAGATGGTGTATCCTGCTCGCATCTTGAAATTAAGAGTCCGCGGAACTAAGAGAGAAATGACTCAAGAGACATCATCCTCGGAGGAGGTTTCTGTTGTCATGGCTGGTGTAATTGCTCGATTTGATGGCTCTGATATTCTGGTATTTTATTTTCCTGCCAAAGCCTAAGAGATAATTATTGAGGCATGATAAATGTCTTTTACCTGTCGTCACTCGTGTAGTATTTTCTTGATGAATCATTACTTTTATCTGATGAGAAGCTAACATGGAGAAGGGTTTATCAATCAAATAATTCTCTTTCCATCCCCTTTGGTGATGTAGAGTATGCTTCAACAATGGTTTCAAGAAATGAATTCTCAGTTTTGGGACCAGAAACCCAAGAAGAGAGGTCCAGATGATCTGGAAAATTCTTATGGGAGATTGCCATATCAGTTATGGAATGTTAACAAGTATGGGTCATGTGTTGATGCAGCAATCACTGGCATAATGCCTCCTCCATTATTGGAACTCCAGGTGACTCCTTCTGTTACTGTAATTGGCCTGCAGATGGTTGCTATAGAAGTTGTTCTAATTGGCTAAGGTTTTGAGTAACTATTTGCTGCATGATTTCCAAAAGGCTTAGTTTAAGCATATAGAAGAGTTGTTCATTTATTACTTCTGGTAATTCATTTCTAGTGATGCTTCTTGCTCCTTTTCCAATGAATAGTGGCGACTTTCTGAAGTTATTCCGGTATTTGAATTCAGCTGCTTTTATTGTTGGGCAGTCAAGTCAACGTTACTACTGTGCAGTCACTATTGGAGATGGTGCTGTGATCTCAGCTTTTAGGTCAGTAAATTTGGTGGGTTTTGCAATATAACGTGCAGATCATTTCTTAATATGCTTTTTATTAATGTGTCCATTCTCATTTTCTTTTATATTGGTGTCTCATTGGCTTAATTTAGTCTCATCCTGTTAGACTTTCAGAAGATAGAAGCAGGTCCTTAGTGGGGGCCATTTTGTCAAAAGTTGTGCCTGCGACATTTTCAACCATCGCATCTTTTTCTAAAATGATATGGCGGAGTGAACCAACTACAAACAGAAAGTCGGAAGAGAAGACTCAGCCATTTGCTCGAGGTGAAGCTTGTTTAGTTTGTACATTCAATTTCTTTCCTAGTATGATGTTAAGCCTGCAACATAAAGTCATGTACCCATATTTGATTTTTATACTTCCTACTGAATATTATCTCATAACTAGGATTAAGTATTATTGGAACTTGGAAGGTGATTCAGTTATCAAGAATCTAGATTGTTTCACTAAGAAATTGAGCCAATGTAGAAGATGTTTATACCAGTTAGCTGATCTCTTTCTCCATGACTTCAGTAACGTTATAACCACTTTGTTTCAACATCTCAATTTTTACTGTAAGTTCTATTTGTGGTATTTCTCATTTTTTCTGCTGGCTGCATTTCCTGTTATTGTTTCCTAATATCCTGCTTTTTCCTTCATATTTTGCTCTGTGCACTCACCAATGCTTTTTGTGGCTAAGGACGTGTATTGACTAATAACTCCTTATTGTTATGAAATATGCTGGAAGTGTAATGGAAATAGGGTTTTTGTTTCAGTTATATTGTCCTGTCCAAGGTGATATTATGGTGTTGTGTATTCACCATCTTTCATGTTTCATTTCAAATTTGATATGCCAGTTAGCATTTGAGATTAGCATTCTCTATTTTGACTTTTCAATTCTTATTTATTCTTTTGTAAGCCCTCTTGAATGTCGTATTGATGGCATCGCAGCTTCTCCTTTGACGTGTCTGAAGGATCACCCAAGAAAGGGTGAAAAACTCACCTTGTCACCAAGTGGTACATTGGCTGCGATAACTGATTCACTTGGTCGTATATTGCTCTTAGACACTCAAGCACTTGTAGTGGTGCGACTGTGGAAGGTTTGTTGAGTCCCATTCATTTTGAATATCTTCAAAAGCTGCATCCCTCATTTCTAAATAATGGATTTCAGGGATATCGTGATGCAAGCTGCTTGTTCATGGAGTTGCTAGTCAACAGAGATCAACCAGGGTCAAGTTCCTTTTACTATGAACCCACAAAGAGTGACTATTGCCTTTGTCTGGCAATTCATGCACCTCGTAAGGGAATTGTTGAGGTATGTTACATCTTTAAGGTATCCTTAGATTAGAGATGGAAGTTGACTGAACCTGAAATCATTTTTCTTTTGGCTGTAGACTGTAATCTACAGATGCTGTCTTATTTCCATTAAGCAATATCTCTTTCTGGCAATATAAACTATTTCAAAATCTTCTATCAGGAGATGCTTTCAACTTTTTGTTTCCATATTGTTAATAAGCATGATTGATTTTTGCTGTACGGTTACAACTTTTGCTTTGGTGGAGAAAATACATTTTATTTTTTGGCCCTTGATTTTGTTTAGGTTTGGGTAACCCATGATTTGGTTACCTACAATATTTTTGGGTTTTGTGCTTGCTATGGAAGTTCCAACCAATGCTCTATTCTGCATGGCTGAATTCCTGACCATTTTTGTTGAACACATCAAATGCAGGTTTGGCAGATGAGAACTGGACCACGTCTTTTAACCATTCAGTGTGCTAAAGGTAGCAGATTGCTACAACCTAGCTACAGGTTTGGATCATCATTAGGCTCTCCTTATGTTCCCTTGGAAGCTTTTTTGTTAAATGGAGACTCTGGTCAGTTGTCAGTGTTGAATCGATTTGTTAATTGAATTAATGAAGTTCGTTCCTTCTTTGTTCAATACCAATTTACTTTTATCTCTATCATTGTCTGTTCCCTTGCTTTTTTACAGCTTAGATTGAGAAAAGATGATTTTAAGCTGCATTATTTCATAAAAGTTGACACATTTTGGAGATCATGTTAGAATATTGGCATACCTCCTTTTTTGTTATGGTGGTTAGGTGGCATCTTGGCCACTGCTCACCTTTCTAGTCTGTAGTCCAGTCCAAGATAGACCATCCAAGTTGAGACTAGGGGTCCCGTGAGGAATTATCTACTCATCAATTCCCCAGTGAATCAAATCTTGGTTATCAAGGTGGACCAACTATTCTTAGTATTCTAGTTATGTATCTGTCTGGTTACTTTCCTTACTGACATTGATTTCTCTACACTATATTGTAGCTTTCTATTTACAACTATTTGATTTTCGATGATATCTTTTTATTGGTTTGCTTACAAGCCAATCTTTAGAGCCCTTTGTCGTATATTATAAGATTATTAGCATCTAATAGTTGGAGAAAGAAATGATGAAGGAAGCTTTAAGTCTAATTGTTTCCTTCTCCTTAAGATTCTTCCATTTCTTTACAGATTATTGCTTAGTTTCGTGCCTTAAACTAAAGAAAAGATCATTTGATGTCATGTTTTTGGTAAGATGTCAAAATCTTTACGAAAACTTGACAAATATAGAAACCTTTCTCACACATAAATTGAGGCAGAAAAGGCTTCTACAATCTATTTATAATTCCATCATTAATGGCTAAAACTAATTCCTCTTTGTTATCTCTTCAGTTCTTTCTCTTTCTCTTCCTTTGCTTGCCTTTCTTTTCCTTAGCCAGCCTCCATAAAACAACCAATCTTCTTTCAAAAATTTCCCTCGGTGACAACCCACCAAATCAATACTTTGAAGTGACCAAACCCATTATAGTACCGAAAACTAAACCTTGTTCTCACCTTATTCTCCAGCATGATTTCGGGTTTACTTATGGAAAGCCTCCAGTTCTTGCCAACTACTCTCCTCCATCTCATTGCCCATCCCAAGCTTTCACCAAAATTGTTCTTGAGTGGAAAGCAACCTGCAAAGGAAATCAATATGATCGAATTTTTGGGGTTTGGCTAGGCGGCGTAGAGCTCCTCAGGGGCTGCACAGCGGAACCTACAGAGTCTGGGATTGAATGGAGTGTTGAGAAGGATGTAACAAGGTATTACTCTTTGCTTGTGAAGAAAGAAACTCAAACACTAGCAGTTTATCTTGGTAACCTTGT